CTGTAAGGGAGATTAGCTTTTCTAAGAACCATAGGGCATTTCTGTAATTGACCTTTCAGTAAACTACTTTTTTTTTCCTTTTTGTGAAACCAAGTCAGACCTGTGTCTTCTGTTACTCTTCTCCTGTTTTTTTCCTCTCCCTTTGTCTTCCCACCTGCCTGCTTACCTGTCTCGTTCATTGTTCTAGGGTGCTGGGAATACATCGTGAGCAAAATAGTTTTCTGGTTCTTATATTCTAGAAGGAGCTGGTGGAGATAGTTGAAAAACAGTTTTTGAAATACATTTATCAGCCAGTGATAAATAATATGATAAGTACATAGAAGAATGAAGAAGAATAGGGAGATAGCCAGTTATGGTGGATAGGCAATGGTCAGGAAATGTTAATGGGTTGACATTTGAGCAGGCATCTGAAGGGAATAAGAACATCAGCCAGCAGGAGGTAGCACTTGCAAAGGCCCTGAGGTGGCCAGGGACTGATGCGGAGTGAGTATAGGAAAGTGAGTGGGAGAAGAAGTTAGAGTGAAAGAGTCTTTCAGGTTTTACATTCACTCTGTAGCCTTTGGATTTAATTTTGGGAACAGTTGGAAGTCATCAGGGAGATTGTATAGAGAAGAGCAGTGACCTGACTTACAGGTGAAGAGAATTCTAAGCTGCTGACTTGGGAGCACACAGGAGGCAGGGCCGAAATAGCCCTGGCAGGAGACCAGGAGTGCAGGCGTGGAGGGGGGTGTCCAAGACGAGGGTGTGAAGGTGGCACGTGAGCAGAGGTTGGCATGTGAGGAAGGAGCAGCTGATGGACTTGCTCCAGGGTGGTGTTTGGGGTGGGAGGAGAGGAAGCAGACTCCCAGACTTTTGGTGGACTGATTCCTTCCACTGCCAATGGGAAAGGTGATGGAGGAGTGGAGTTGAAGGAGGTGGAGAGATCAGCAAGTTGACTTTGAACATATAGACTTTGGCTTATCAGGTGTGCAGTTAAAATATTTAGAAAACGAGTGAGTATGTGATCATGTGCAGGAAAGTTCCCTAGTGGGGTCATGTTCCCTAGTGGGGTCATGTGGAGCACATAGATGTGAGACTAAACGACCTTGTCTAGGGGGCTTGTCTGCGGAGGAAAGAGTGGAGATCTGAGCACTAAGCTCTGGTCACTGCAGTGGGTGATGGGAGATGTGCAGGAGCCAGCAGACAGAGGAGGAGAACCAGTGAGGTAGGTGGGACCAGAAGGCGCCCGCATGGGTGTGCTTTGTGTTGGAATCCTGATGGCAGGACTGTACACCCTGCTGAGAGTCTCAGTTTCATTTATGTTGTCTAACAGATCACACATTTCTGTGTTATTTTAAGCCACGCTTTTTAGTAGTTTTTGCTAGTTGTTTTTCTATGCCCTTTAAAAAAAATTATCTTAGGCCAGTGCTGATGGTTAATAATGTGAGATTATGTTGAATGCTTTCTTGAAACCAGCATATTTTGACCAGTCTCATATATTTTTCTAATCATATGTCAACAAATACTAATTCCACCCCTGCTTTTCTAGGCTCTTGGAAAACTTCAAGAAACTAGACAGAAGGAATTCCTGTCCTTGTGGCATTTGCCTTGGGTGGGGATTGAGTCAGAGATCACACATGAAGAGCGCGTGCCTGTGGGGATAGACAGGGGCAGGCCGCCAAGGTGGTGCTGGGCTGGGTGTGTGGCGGTGTGTGGCCTGGGGAGCTCTCCTGAGGAGAGACCTGGGGCAAGTGGCCAGGTCCTGGGTGGCAGGCTGGGGAGACTGCAGAGCCCAGGATCAGCCCCCTCTCTGTGCCTCCCTTGTTCTCATGGAAGCTGCACTCTGAATCCTTCCTGTCGCTGTGAGTGACTCTCACTGCTGTGGTGATAAAGCAGTTCCCGTTTAGAAGTAAGAAGGATTCCTGACAAGAAGGGGAGAGAACACCAACACGAGAGACAATCTGGGTGCCGAGTTGCTCGAGGAAGACAGGTGGCAGCCGGTCTGCGTTCCAAAGGCTGCTGCGGGTGTTCTCTTGACAGGCTCATGTCCACAGTTGTGAGGGAGAAATCTGAGCCCATTCTCACTTTTCTTAGTAAAATGGGTTTTTTTTTTTTCATTTCTAAATACTTATAAAAACTATTACTTGCTCTTATAATATATGTAAATATTTTAACTTTTATTAACTTAGCCAAGTATCCAGGAGCTTTCTCCACCATGTTAAAAGACGTTCTTTAGTTCACAGTCTTCTTACCTTCATTTCCTGGTGCCTTGATTCTCCCCATTTGTTTCATTCTCTTCAAGATCACCAAGTACCTGTCTCTCCTTTTCTTCTGTTCTTTGAGTACTTGTTCTAGAAACACTCACATTTATTCTGTGTCGTTGACTTGAACTTCAGCATAATTCCCTTGTTTCTGTTTCTAATTTCACTTTTTAAATTCATAATGGCACTTTTAATTAAAATCACATATGTGTTTGGGTGATTCTCTTCATTTCAGCCTGTCTTAGGATTGCGTTGACAATCTCATAGTGTTCATTCCACTTGAATTTTCTTGAGAGAGTTCACAGCAAATGCTTTCCCAGAGTTCATCTTGCATATCTCCTTCCTCCCATGTCGTCC